CGAAAAGAAAAGTAAAAGGATTGCAGAATTCTTCAAAGGTACAATCTTTATCACAATTTCTATCTAAACACAAAGGCGATTCTTGGTGGAAATCAAAAATTATTTTAAATTCCGCTGTGCATGTATAAGTAGATTTCCAACAGTGGTATCAGAGCTCACTTTGTATTTGTTAGACATTGTTTAATATATTCATGCAATCAAAAGTTGATTGTTATCAATTTTTCATGTTTCTAGCAATTGAAGAAAATTTAGTTTTCTTAATTTTTTTGAAAACTGATTTCGAATTTAAAAAAAAAAAAAATTGGTTTTTGGATCGATGGCATGCTTCACCCCGGGCGGGAGCAGCGTGTTGCCCACCGACAGAGCCTGCAGCGGCTGTGTGCCGCACCGCAGCGGCACACAGCCGCTGCTTCAGCAGTAGCGCCTTCGCACTGCTGATTTGGGCTGCAGGAGCCGCCACTTGATAAATAAATAAATAAAATCTGGTTTCTAGGGTTTCAGTTGCTGTTGGGTGTGAAATTGGGGACGGGGGCTTCTCGATAAATTTTAGAAATTGGAGGTCCCTCTCTACAATTTAGTACTAAGGGGTCAGTTTGCAATATTTTAAAAGGGGACTTGTTATGCAATTTTAAATTTTGGAAGGGTCCGATGTCAATTTCAAACTTGGGTCAATTTGCAAGTTTTCAAAATGGTTTTGAATTTCAATTTTGAAATGGTTTTAAAATTAATTTTAATTGGGTTCGACCCATAATTTTGATTTTGACCCAAATTAAAATTTTATTTAAAATTGACGACATTTTTATATTTTTTGTTAAAAATGGATTTTGACTTAAATATTAAACTTTGACCCTAAATTGAATTCTATTTTATTTAGGAGTTTTATCCTAAATTAAAATCACAATTCAATTTAAGTTAGAATTGGATTTTAATTTAGTGTTTAATTAAAATTTGATTTTAATTAAATTATTCACCCAAATATGTTATTGAAATTAGAATTGGATTCTAATTTGACATTTAATTAAAATTTGATTTTAATTAAATTGTCTCGCCCTAAATTTCTTCTTAGAATTAGAGTTGTACTCTAATTTGGTATTTAATTAAAATATGATTTTGATTAAATAAGTCCGTCCTAAAATATTGGAATTAGAGTTAGACTCTAATTTTGTTATTTAATTAAAATTTGATTTTAATTAAATTCAATTGCCTTAAGTTATGTTTAATTGAAATTTGATTTTAGTTAAATAATCATGTCTTATAATTGTGGATTTTGAGTTGGACTCCAATTCGATATTTAATTAAAAATTTGATTTTAATTAATTATGCTCGCTAATTAAATAATTGATTAATATGATTAATTAATTATTTAATTGTTCCGATCCTTTGGTCATCAATCTTTGCTCACCATAAAACTTTTGTCCATACTTCTTTTTCGTTGAATTTTTTATGTATCAACATTCTATTGATTAGCAAATTTTATCTTTTTTGATGGTTTCATTTAAAATACCTTTTTTGTGCTTTAAAATGAGGGAAAATATTTTGTCACATTTTTTCATTTATTATTTTTTAAAATATGATTAAAAAATTAGTTATTTTACACTTTCGAACGGAGTTGTTTGACAAAAACAATTATAAAATATGAGATGTGCTAATTAATAAAATGTTAAAAATAAAAGTGCGTAAAAAATAACGTTAAGGACATAAGGATTACAATAAGCAAAGATTGAGGATCTTAGATGAAATTAAAATGTGGTGTAACAAATAAAAAATGTAAAGTGAATATAATTACCCTTACCGGAATATATCTAAATGTTTGCATTTTTACTTGATCTTTAGAGGTTTCTTTTTAGACTTTTAGTTGGCATCTTATAGTGGCACCCTCCCTTTCCCCACCCCAAACTTTAAATAAATAATAAAAGGGCAATTAGCATAAAACATCCTTACCTTTCAATATTATTGTGCAAAACATCCCTACATTTCATTTTTTGGCATCTTCACCCTTTCCTTCACTTTTTATTGAAGAAATCCTCATTTTCATCAAATTTCTTGTATAAAATAACAAATATACCCCCTATTTAAATAAAGCAATAAAAAAGAAAAGAAAAATTAAAGAATAAATTGCAATCATACTCTCAAACTTTTTTTAAAAAGTGCAAATTAGTCCAAATAAATTATTATAAAGGTAATTAATACAAAACGTCCATACCTTTTATTATTATTGTGTAATGTCCCTACTATTCATTTTTTGACATTTTCACCCTTATTTTTATATTTCATTGCAAAAATCATTATTTTCATTCATTTTCTCAATTAAAAGCTATAAAATTATAAATATATACTCCTCTTTAAATAAAGAAAAATAAAGAAAAGAAAAATAAGAACAAATTGCAACTATACTCCCAAAATTATCAAAAAAAGTACAAATAAATTTCAAATAAATAATTAAAAAATATAGTGAATATAGTTGCAATTTGTTCTTTATTTTTCTTTTCTTTCTTTTTGTTTATTTAAAGAGGAGGGTATATTTGTCATTTGCCAGCTTTTAATTGAGAAATTTGATGAAAATAACAATTTTCCTAATGAAATATGAAATGAGGGTGAAAATTTAAAAAAATGAAAAGTAAGGACGTTTTGCACAATAATATTGAAAGATAGGGACATTTTGTGCTAATTACCCTTTTAATAATTTATTTGGACTCATTTGCACTTATTAAAAAAGTTTGGGAGTATAATTGCAATTTATTCTTTAACTTTTTCTGGTTTATTGTTTTATTTAAATGGGGGTATTCTTGTCATTTTACATGAGAAATTTGATGAAAATGATGATTTTCACAATAAAAAGCGAAGGTAAGGGTGAAAATGTCAAAAAATGAAAGGTATGAATGTTTTGCACAATAACATTGAAAAATAAGGACGTTTTGTATTAATTACCCAAGAATAAAACCTCCCGAAAAAACTGAAAAATATTAAAATGGACTATAAGTCAAGGAAGAAGAAAAAATGTGTGGGGAGAATATGAAAGGTTTGTGCTCTTTGATCATTGTATTATGTAAACCTCTATATGATGATTGATTGGTTAAGAACTTAAATATCATGTTTGTGACAACTGGGAATGTGATAGACGAAGGAAAGAAAATTGCACTGAATAAATCTGAAAATAACAAACGGGTACAAGACTCCACTCTCAGGCATCCTCTCTCTTCTCACTTAATTCGATGCCTTCTACTATTCCCCACCCCCTTACATATACCCTTCTCCTAATCAACTCAACAGAATAGCTAACCACCTAACTACAGAGAGAGATGCAGCTTTATTCTAGAAACTACCGGCATGCCATGCTGTAATATAGTTATCTTCCATGTTACTTGGTCCCCTTACGTCTTGTGTATGTAATTTTTTTAATTGGGCTTGGGCTTGGGCTTATCAACCCCCCCCCCCCAAAGCAGTCACCTTGTCCGCAAGGTGCAGAGAAGGAAATTGCTGGTTAAACAAATCAAATGGCTCCCATGTGGCTTCCACAGGTGAGAGTCTCTTCCACTGTATCAGGACTTCCATTCCTCCTGTTGTTCCCTGCTTTGAGTATCTGAAACTTGGAACATATTCTGGTTCTACAAGCAACTCCCAGTCATCTCCAAGTTGTTGGGGCAGTGGTGTGACAATCGGTGTAGCTCCCCTTACTTTCTTCAACTGTGAAACATGAAAATTCGGATGGATTCGAGTGTTTTCGGGCAACGCTAGACGGTAGGCTACCTTCCCCACTTTTTCCAAGACCTCAAAGGGCCCATAAAACCTCGGGGCTAGCTTTTCATTAGCACGAGTTACTAACGACATGCGCCTGTAGGGCCTCATCTTTAAATACACCCTATCACCCACTGCATATTCAACCTCTCGCCTGTACTTATCTGCTGCCAACTTCATCTGTTGCTGTGCTTTATGTAAGTGGACTTTTAGTTCATCCAGCACCTTATCTCGTTCCAACATTTGCTGTTCAAGGGACGACACAGCTATAACCCCCTTCTCGAAGTGAAGGAAAAGGGGAGGATCGCGCCCATACAAAATGCGAAAAGGAGTCAGCTTTGCCGCCACATCATAGGAAGTATTGTAGGAATATTCAGCCCAGTGTAAGTATTGGTACCATTGCTTCGGCCTGACTGATGTAAAGCATCTCAGGTATGTCTTCATTCCCCTGTTCACAACCTCCGTTTGCCCGTCAGTCTCGGGGTGATAGGCCGAACTGTGTTTCAATGAAGTTCCTTGCAATCTGAAAAGTTCACTCCAAAACTTACTTAAAAAATACCTTATCCCGGTCAGAAATTATGGTACGAGGCAGCCTATGTAATTTCACTATTTCCTTGGTAAAGAGTGCCGCCACTGAGGGGGCTGAAAAAGGATGTTTCAACCCAATGAAGTGTGCATATTTACTCAAATCGGTCCACCACGACAAAGATGGAATTGAACCCGTCCGATTTGGGAAGCCCCTCCACAAAATCCATGGAAATGTCTTCCAATACTTGGTTCGGAATTGGAAACGGCTGGAGCAACCCAGCTGGGGTGAGGGTCGAGTACTTATGTTGTTGACAGATCGCACAAGCAGCAACATAAGCCTGAATGTTCTTCCTCATCCCTTTCCAAAAGAAAGTTTCTGCCAACCTTCTATAAGTTTTTAAGAAACCTCCATGTCCTCCGACCTTACTATCATGTCCTTCATGTAAGGCCAACTGCAAAAGTGGTGATTTCCTTGGCAACACCAGCCGGTCATGGTACAGTAAGTGGCCTCGTACCAAAGGATAACCAGGAGGAGCAACCTCCCCCTTCTGCAAGGAGGTGACCAAAGCGCCAAATTCCTTGTCATCACTTATAGCCTTTCGGACTATGTCCAATTCCATGGTGCAGGGTACACTCATGGCCATGATAGTTGTGGTCGCATCAATCCTTGATAGTGCATCTGCAGCCTTGTTCTCCATTCCTGCCTTATATTCAATATCAAAATCGAACCCCAAGAGCTTAGTAAGCCATTTCTGATATTCCTGATTCACTTCTCGCTGCTCCAATAAGAATTTAAGGCTACGTTGGTCGGTTCGAATGATGAATCTCCTTCCAACAGGTAGTGCTTCCACTTTTGAATTGCCATGACAATGGCCATAAGTTCCCGTTCATAAATTGATTTGCTCCGAGCCCTCTGGGGAAGCACTTGGCTGAAATATGCGATCGGTCGACGATCTTGCATAAGGACTGCCCCTATCCCATATCCGGAGGCGTCGGTTTCCACAATAAATGGTTGTGTGAAGTTGGGCAGCCCCAACACCGGTACAGTCATCATGGCAGTTTTCAATTTCAGGAAGGCTGCTTCTGCCTCTTCATTCCACCCAAAGTTGTTCTTCTTCAATTGTTGTGTTAACGGCCATGCAATGCTTCCATATGACTCCACAAATCGACGGTAATACCCTGTGAGTCCCAAGAATCCTCTCAGCTCCCTAATAGATTTTGGTCTGGGCCATTCTCTCATGGCCGCTACCTTGGATTCGTCGGCTGACACCGCTTTTTCTGATACAATATGCCCTAGATATTCCAACTCCGTTTGCCCGAATAGACACTTCTTTTGGTTGGCATACAACTGATTGTCCCTTAACACTTGTAGTACCCTACGAAGATGATCCCGATGTTCCTCGATAGTGCGGCTGTAGACCAGGATGTCATCAAAAAACACCAAAACGAATTTTCGGAGATAGCTCCTAAAAATCTCGTTCATGAGGGACTAGAAAGTTGCCGGGGCATTTGTCAACCTGAAAGGCATGACAAGGAACTCATAGTGCCCTTCGTGAGTTCGAAAGGCAGTCTTAGGCACATCTTCCGGCCGTACCTGAATTTGGTGATAACCTGATTTCAGGTCTAATTTTGAAAAGACTGTGGCGCCAAAAAGTTCATGGAGCAGCTTATCAATCACTGGAATTGGAAATTTATTAGGAACGGTCACTTTGTTTAAGGCTCGATAATCGACGCAGAATCTCCAACTCCCATCCTTCTTCTTTACCAACAATACTGGACTTGAAAATGGGCTAATGCTTTGCTGTATGAAGCCTGCAGCTAACAACTCTTGTACCAATCGTTCAATTTCACCCTTCTGAAAATGCGGGTACCTGTAAGGCCTTACACTGATCGGCGCTGTTCCTAGTTGCAAGGTAATAGCGTGGTCACGATTCCTTGATTGGGGGGGGGGGGCTGTTGGGCATCTCAAAGACGGGTGCAAATTCCCTCAACACTTCTGAAATCATATTCGGAGTTTTCTGGCACCCGTGCATGAAGTGAACATCAATATTCCCCAACTCCAGAATTGCCCCTCCTTGAGACTTAAGTGCCTTGAACATGGACTTCAAGGACACAGATGTTTTGCTCAAACCGGAGTCCCCTTTTATCTTCACCTTCACGCCGGCCACCATGAAAGTCATGGTGAGAGTCTGCCAGTTAACCTGCATATCCCCTAGTTTACGCAACCACTGCATACCCAAGATAACGTCGGAGCTCCCCAGTTCTAACGGTAAAAAGTCCTCCTCCACTACCACACTCTGCAGCTGAAGCTTCACATTCTGCAAATCCCTTCTCCTTTTACTGTGAACCCAGTACCCATGATGACCCCGTAACCGGTTGTGCCCGATAAGGGAAGTCACAACTGCTTGACCACTTCTTCCGAGATGAAATTGTGGGAGGCCCCACAGTCAATTAAGATGATTACCTCCTTCGAGCCGATCGAGCCTTTCAGTTTCATAGTCTCCGGGGCAGTGAGACCTACTACCGAGTTAAGGGATAGCTCGACCGAGGTTCCCACGCCGGTAACATCATCGTCGGAGCTTCCCGGTTGCTCGCCGGCAGTCGCTGTATGGGGGCTGGACAGCACCTCCCATTTTTCCAACCCTTCTCCACCTCCTCTGTCTTCTTCATTTTCTCTAATAACCATAACCTGGAGCTCTTTATTCTTGCAACGATGACTGATCACAAAATTTTTCGTCACATTTGTAGCACAACCCTTTTTCTCTCTTTGTCTGAATCTCCGCATCGATCAGTCGCTTGAAGGGGTAATTGATTTTTGGGGGAGGTAGAACACGAGTAGGTAGGATGTTTAGGGGCACCGACTGCCTTTGGGTTGTTTGTCCATAAGAATTATTTTGGCCCCCTTTGAATCTGGTTGGGCCAAAACTCCATGGGCTGTGTTGGATCATTTGATCCCTTTCTTCCACACGTTGGGCCACATCCATAATCTGCTCGAGGCCCACTGGGTCTATTAATTGGACTTCCACCCTAATCCTGGGAGTCAGCCCATTGATGAAGTTGCACTCCAATACTTCCTCCGATATGTTCTGCAAGGGAGACGCCAATTTTTCAAACTGTCGGTGGAAACTCCTTGACTGTGGCAATCTGTCGCAGCGCCAAAAATTGGGCACACAGGGAGCCGTCCTGCGTCGGACGAAATCGGCGCAGTACACGCCCCTTCAGCTCTTCCCAATTCCTCATGGGTCGCAGTCGTTCTTCCCACTGGAACCAAGCTAATGCATCACCGTCCAATCAAACGGCGGCTGCATCCCATTTCTCCTCCTCTGTCATCCGATTCACATTAAAGTATCGTTCCACCCTGAAAATCCACCCATCAGGGTCGCCTCCATCAAACACAGGCATGTCTAATCGGCGGATGCACGATTCCGGCCTCCATCCATTGTCAAACCTACTTCCACTGTTCTGGCTGCCTTCAGATCCCGCCTGTGCGCCGCTCGCATTTGAGGGTGAGTTCGGAATCTGGGGTTTGGCCACTCCCTTTTCCTTTCTCTCTCGCTCCAGAATTTCCCATGATCGAAACATCAATTCGAATTTTCCTTTCAAGTCGTCATGAAATTGCTGAAATTCAGCTCGTAGAGCCTCCATCCCAGTCTGTAGGGCTGAGTGATTAGCCGCCACTTGTTGCTCCAATTCCCCTACTCGATCGGTAAGTGTCATGGTGGTGCCGGTTGGATCCAATGCTCTGATACCACTTTGATAGAAGAAGGAAAGAAAATTGCACTGAATAAATCTGAAAATAACAAACGGGTACAAGACTCCACTCTCAGGTATCCTCTCTCTTCTCACTTAATTCGATGCATTCTACTATTCCCCACCCCCTTACATATACCCTTCTCCTAACCAACTCAACAGAATAGCTAACCACCTAACTACAGAGAGAGATGCAGCTTTATTCTAGAAACTACTGGCATGCCATGCTGTAATAGAGTTATCTTCCATGTTACTTGGTCCCCTTACCTCTTGTGTATGCAATTTTAATTGGGGGCTTGGCCTTGGGCTTATCAGAATGTAATTTAGAGAAGTCCAAATTTATTGACTTGGGAGTTTGAAATGTGTGAAGAGCAATGCAGTGTCTAAATTCCTCAATTATAAGACATCTGAAAGAAGAAAAGCAAGTATATCTTATCAATCTATTTGCTTCCCTTTTAGTTCAATGCCAGAGTTGGTTTTTTTTTTCCCTTCTCTCTCTCTCTCTCTCTCTCTCACTCTTTATGGGATACTAATCTTTTCCTCGGAATTTGAATACTGAGTAATTTGTCTGCAATTGTTGTGTTAATGTTTGTTCACTAAAATTTTGTCATCCATATGAAGCACCGCTTAATTATTTATTAAGGACCGAATGTCTCTTATGTGGGAAAAGCAAGTCCGAGCTTAATGTCCATGGAATATTTTTTTAGGAAGTTCTGCTTTTTTATTTCCGATGTTCACTATATGCTCCCTTTTAGCATCTAATCTGTGATAATAAATTTTCTGACAGGGTAACAGCCTTATGAGGATTCTAAACGTAGCTGCATTTGCAGTATCTGGATATGCTTCTACTGAAGGAAGGAATTGCAAACCATTTAATCCACTGTTAGGGGAGACTTATGAGGCTGATTATCCAGATAAAGGCTTCCGATTCTTCTCGGAGAAGGTAGTAGTTTATTACCTGAAGCAATGCTGTGTTTGTATCATCCATAATTTTTCTCATCTTCTATAATTTTGATTAGTCTTTCAATCAGGTTAAATTTTTTATGGTATAAATAAATGCCTTGTTATGATGTTCAAGATACTGTAGACCTGTCCGAATATGTGGTTTTCTGCACTAGTTAATTTGATCAAAGCTCACCTTATGCTAAATGTACTCAATTTTGTTGCTACACACTCCCTTTAAATTCTTGTAGGAAAATATAAGATAGAGATATGCAAAAAAGGAAAATAAAGAGTGACTTTCTTTATTTTTATTACCTCAAGAAATGCAATTTCTATTTTTGATACTATGCTGTTTGATCCAGTCACAAAAGTCATCTGTATTTTAAATCTAGATGAGTATGTCACATGGTTACTTTTTAAAGATAAAGGTCAAAATCTTCAATATCATGTTAAATATATTTTAGTTCTACAGTGCCTGGTAGTTTTACAAGTTACGTTGAGCAAAACCAAGACCTTGGATTTAATGTTCTTATGTTATTTGCCAAATAATTCATTTGAGTTTCTAGAGGAACATTAATAGGAAAAAATGAAAATTTTGACTTTCCTTCACTTGACATGGCTGAGAAATGTTTTCAATCATAATAATGTTTAATGAACATTTTGGTCTGCTTTCCACTCAGTTTAGACAAGTCTTCTGCGAGTCTAGTTATAAATTGCCTGTAATATAGTATCTTGGCGCGCATGTCATGAAATTGCTGATTTTGTTGTTTGACTTTTGGTTAATAGTGCTCCTAATAACTGATGAAGATGGAGATATCTTTACAGGGAAAATCCTTCCTGGTTTATGCACACACCGTGATCAAACATTACTAATGCTGGTTTCTTTTGGATCAGGTGTCTCATCACCCAATGGTAGTAGCCTGTCATTGCGAGGGTACTGGCTGGAAGTTTTATGGTGATAGCAATCTGAAAAGCAAATTTTGGGGTCGCTCGATTCAGCTCGATCCAGTTGGTGTTTTAACGCTAGAGTTTGATGATGGAGAAGTTTTCCAATGGTGTAAGGTATCAGCACGATAACTCATAGAGTTGTTCTTTTATTTGTTTGATTTCATGCCTGATAGGCTTGTTTGTGGCAGGTAACAACATCAATTTACAATCTTATTCTGGGGAAACTATATTGTGATCACTATGGTACAATGCGGATAGAAGGAAACCGCAATTACTCGTGTAAACTGAAATTCAAAGAGCAGTCTATCATAGACAGAAATCCTCATCAGGTTTTCTCCCTTTATATATGATTTGCTTCTAGACCTGTAAAGAATGGATGAATAATTTTGGTATTTTGTTTTTTTCGGTGGATAGAAATAATCAATTTTTTATTGTCAAGGGCATTGACATAATATAACTTCACTTTTGCAGGTTCAAGGAATAGTCCAAGATAGGAGCGGAAAGACAGTAGCAACTCTATTTGGAAAGTGGGATGAGAGCATGCATTATGTCAATGGAGACTGCTCATCTAAAGGAAAAGGTCACGAATCTCTGTCAGAAGCTTGTTTGCTCTGGAAACGTAGCAAGCCTCCTAAGTTCCCTACGCGTTATAATATGACACGCTTCGCCATGGGACTGAACGAGCTTATTCCCAAACTGAAGGTAATTTTTATGAATGATTCAACGTCTTAACTGTTTCCACCAAATGAATGTTTTTCTTAGGCTGGCAAGTGTTTTTGTTCTTCAAATACCATCTTTTAGTTGGAAATTACATGTATTTTAATTCAAATCATTAACTCTAATCTTATGCCCGCCCTTGGGTTCCGGAACACATAATACACTTTTTTATACTCAGCTTTTCAGGATTACTTATTGTGCTAAGATCTTTTCATCCTTCACAGGAAAAGCTGCCCCCAACAGATTCAAGGCTGAGACCTGATCAAAGGTGCTTGGAAAATGGGGAGTATGAAATGGCTAATGCAGAAAAATTGCGACTGGAGCAGCGGCAGCGGCAGGTAACTGTTTGAGCTTGTTTCTGAATAATCATCAGCTAAAAATGAGCGCATGAGCCTGAATTTAAAGGTTAAGGTGTTTTGTGGCTTCTTTATTTGAAAAATCTCCAATTCTTCTCATCTAGTTTCTTCATGACTCCACTATTGATTTATTTATTGGTTTCATACACATGCTTTCTCATAGTCATATTGAATGGTAAACTTGAGATAAATCACATATTTATTGGATGCTCCATAATGCCCTTAGAACTGGAAATAAAATTATGTAATTTTTCTCGAGTAGTTCCAGTGCGTTTCCAGTAGGAATTGATGTTCAGGTTCTTTTTTCTAAATTATTGACGTGGGAAATGTAGTGGTAGTTCCGATGTTCTAAACAGTACTGGCATTAAAACACGTATTTGAAGTGTTGGCATTAATAGTTTTAATCGGGGAAGTTCTGGAACATACGGATTTGGCATTAACATTTTTCTAGTTTGAATTCGATATTCTTTACATACCAACTAATGCATTTCAGTAGGAGTCGTAAAATGGTGCAACTCGTGTGCTGTAGTGTCCTTGAGTATGTTAGCCTTTTATTTATTTTCTTTTTGTTTTGTGGAAACCAGGCTCGAAAGATGCAAGAGAGGGGTTGGAAGCCCCAGTGGTTTGTGAAGGACAAAGGTTCGGATACCTACCGCTATATTGGAGGGTATTGGGAAGCGAGGGAACAGGGAAAATGGGAATCTTGCCCCGATATTTTTGGCCAAATCTCTTCCGATCAAATGTTAGAGTGAGTTACCAGGAGTCGAGTCTTGTGTGGTTGACAGTATTCAATATTATTGCTGGAAATATTGGAAAACAGCCGATGATGATCATTGGCACGAGCTGCAAATATATCCATAACCTGCTTGTATATTACTTCGAGGAAGCAGCTAAGTTGCCATTGATATTCACTCCGGTTCTTGCTTATGAGAATTCTTCGATTTTCTTCTCCATCGCCCCTTGGTTTTGCTGTGAGTGTAAGATATTTTGATCGACGACCTTTTTTTATTTTTACCATTTTTGCCATTTTACCAGGTGTATCATAAATTGGAAAGGATAGACCTGAGGGTCATCTGTGCATTTAAAAGAATATATTCCTTTTAGATTAATTAATAACAGATGCAATTAATTATACGAAACATCATTTTAGATTTTGCTCAGTATGCATTGTTCATATGTTTTGTTGTATGTCTGATTTACAAATTTCAATTAATATTGAAAAATAAGTGGCTTATATCGTTATTCTATTGCCTAAAAACTTATAGAGTTCTTTTTTGGCAGCAAGGATCCTAACAAAGAAAACCCAAATAAGCTACTTATGAAGAAATTACTTGTGCTTGCTTGCTTGTAATTCTCATTCCTTATAAATTCGTGGGGAATTTACCAAAATGTCACTTTTTTTTGAAAATGCACAAAAAATTTTGATGTGCACACAATTTGTACAAAAATGTCACTTTCTTGTTGTCAAATGTCTAAATTACCCTTAATTTGACTTTTTTTGAGCATTTAATGCTCCTTCATGATTGTTTTTAAAAAAAAAAATTAATGTTGTGAGTTGATTGTTTAATTTGTAGATTATAATCATTGAATATATGAATATTATATTGTAAAATACGAATTTAGTTAATAAAAAATGAATATAAAATCCTTCAAAACCCTAGTTAACATTAAAAAAAAAACAAATTTCTTGTTAAACAAACCTTTATTTCATTCATCTTCTTCATCCATTTTCTTCTTTATCAAGAAGACATTACTTCATCCATCTTCTTCATCTATTTTGAATTGTCAGTTATTACAAATTGTTTATATTTTTATGTAATAGCTTACTATTTTTAAAATGTTAAAAACAACATGATAATCACTACTATTAATCATCATCTTCTTCTTCTTTTTTTTTTTTTAATATTTTTGAAGGAAAAATATACCAAAAATATTTAGGGAAATGTGAAATATTTCATATTTAATGAAACATTCAGTCATTTATTTCTGGAAATAGGTTGTAATGTTGTAGTTGTTGTAGTTGATAGATGATTATAACCATTAATGCTACCAAACACATTTGAAACTTCTCGACAATTCCAACAGTTGAACTGTCGAATCGACATTTCGAAACTGTCGGGATAGATATTTTAACTGTCGAACCCTACATTTATAAACTGTCGGGATAGATAACTAAACTGTCGAATTGGATAGCTGAAAACTCTTGACACCCTTCATTTGACCTATTGCATAAGTTTAAATATTCGAACGTGTCACTTCCATGCTATTATATAATCGACATATTGATTGCGCATAATTCTTATCGTTGCAATCCCAACATTTCAGGTATGAACAATAATTTGAGATTCATCGTGTCGCATGGGGGAAAGTTCGTTCATGTGAATGACGAATGGAAGTGGACTAGGGACAAAACCACTTCCATTTTAGTGTCGAACAATATTACACTACCCGGGCTATTGTTACGGTTGAACGACAAACTTGGTGTTCTCTATCCGCGAACAAAAATGGAATTGAAGTTCAAAGTTCCCAACATGAATATACCGCCGGCCGAAATACTCGAAGATGAAGACGTAAATTGGTACATATCAGTTCATAAGGAAACTGCTCTCTGCGTTACGACATTGGAAATCGGCCTGCCAAGTGTTGAAATGGAGAGGGATACAACTTACAGCTACCAATTGTTCCTCTACTGCGTTGTACATTGAAATCTATTATAGTACACTTTTGATTCTCATTATTGCATGCAGTTGTTATTGATTTTTGGATTGGCATAAACATTAGGATCATCATGTTGATGACCTGCAGAACATCCCGACAGTTCACTTGTCAGTCCCACCAGTTTTCTTATGTCATTCTCGACATATGACTTCAAATGTCACATAATCATGGTAATAGTGAATAAACAACGCAACAAATAACAACAAAGGTACATAATTGCCACGTGTAATAAGGACAAGAAAAAAGTATCTAAAATAATTTGTTATAACTCAACTTGAAGCACTCCAACTATTCTCTTGTTCCAAAAAAAAAAAGCATCCACATCATTCGAAAACTGCTATCATTCCATGGTGTACGACATCTGTCATTACTCCCCATGAAACACAGTGTATATTCCCCAATATTACTTTGAAGCAAAGAGGACAATTAGACACTTTGACTCAATTATGCATACGAATCTTAAGATGCGAGAGTGTATTGTGTTATTTTAAAAAACGAACAATTGATCGGTTTCCCCCAAAACGTACAATATGATGAGCTAATATATTTAAAAACAGAATGTCTATTACCAAAATTCAAATTTGAAGAGTACATTTAGCCCCATCGCCCAACTCTACGCCCGTGTCCAGGACAATGCTCATGAAGTAACATGTGTGTAACTAACATATCTCTCAATGCTATTTATAACCAACTCCAAGGGAGGAAGCAATTATGGTCATTCACTACCCAACCACCAAGTCCAATCTCTAAGTAAATTTTAAAATCAATTGGTGTGATGGTTCAATAAATATCAACTTGCGGACAATAATCCCCCATTTTTTTCATAAATACTAGGACATTGTGACTCTTAAATCATGTGTACGATGGCTTCTTATAGTTTCCTGCAAATCACATCTTCTCATATGCAAGTTATTGGAAGCATGGTTGTAATGCTACAGTTTCCCACTTCAATGGCTCATCATCTTTACCCACATCAAGAAAAAAATATTGGAATAGACATTAACTCATTTGTAAATTAGTTATACCATGGTTTTCATGACTTTAAAAAGAATATTGCAATACACATTAAAAACAATCTACTACTCCTTAATATAAACATTTTCCTTTAAAAATCACAAAAATTTCATCCGTCAGTGTCATATAAATTTCACCAACGAATGCAAAATATTATACATTAAGGGAAAACAAAATGTTCTTCCATGCAACTGACTCAGTCACTATCTATCATTGTTATGTGATCCTGAATGCACCATTGTGAATGTTGCTCTTTCTTTGACAACGCAATCGATTGCTTCCACCTCCCATTACTTCCATAATGTACGCACCAACACTCTCAGGAGATGTGGGCCCACAACAGTGCATTCTCCCAAATAAGAGGCTCGAAATCCATGTCTCCTGTGATGAAACAAAAATGATTACATCAGACCAAAATATTTCAAACACACGTGGACGTCTGGATGAAAAAAAAATTAACCACATATGGACAAATCAATCAAAAAATTGCCTATATCATAGCATTCATACGTGTTAATGCGAAACATGCATGCAATGTTCGGCTGAACCAAAGTTCCACTTGCGGAACTAGGCTGAGGAAAGGAAGATTCCCGACAATTCATTTGTCGACAAGTTCATCTATCGAGAATTACTGAGACTAACTGTCGAGAACGACAGTTCAATGCGATGGCATTTCTCTACAGTAGTGAACTTTCGACAGATGAACTATCGAAAAATCTACTCTTTACCTATTATTCAATAGCTACTTAACTCCATATTCGAGCAGAGCGAAACATTAAAACTACAGGTATGCTATCGAGTCTCTATCAAGATTTTCACCCAAATACAACGAATACCACCACAATATATGGACTTGCAAGTGAAAACAACATTATTTCTCATACATTAAGTGACGCATATAGCAACTTAAACACTGCAGTAACCATTCAAGTCATGGTTCAAACTTCTTATGTGCAGGGTAGAAAACATAATAAAAAGATAAAAACTTTTCGGGAAGAGGCTGTTGGGAAAGACATAGTTTCTAATGGATAAAATGTGTTTTGTTTAATAGAAGAAGGTTCAGATCAATGTCTCAAACCTTTAAAGGAAACTCGAAATGAGGGACTAACGAGAAGAGTAATGAAAGATAGGAAATGAAGCCTGTCACCGCTGGCGAAAGGAGTCAACAACCACCTGTGGCTTTTCTTTTTCTTTTATCAAACGAAAAGAATTCTAGAGATGAAATGGAAATTCGATGCAAGGAGTAACGAAACATGGTATCTTTTAAAAAAAAGTTCCAACCATAACACAGCAAAAAATTATTAAAAACGCCCAAAAAAAATTACAGAATATTATAAATGATTTTTACCTCTTTTTAATCCAAGTATTTGGAAGAAAAAAAACCTAATAACTGATCAACAATTATTTTTTCCAGCATTTTGAAAACGAGATGAGCATCGCCAATCTGTGACAAGCAAGAACAAACAACACTAGTAACAGATTTAAATGTTCCCCAATTTGACCTTGTTTCATGACAGGATATATCTCTTCAGCAACACAACTCACCACAACAAAATCCAATATTTATTTGAATGACCATAACAAAGATGAGTTTAAAAGGAGAATAAGAGAAAATAAATGCAAAATCCTACAAAAAAATGATGAAAGATTCTTCCAAGGGAATATCAGATACTCCCAATAGAAAAATATAATAACCTGACTTTGTTGCAATCCTACAACAGATAGTGGCTGTAGACAAAGTTCTTTCAGAACTTGATGCATCATCAAACCCAATGTTAATAGTTTGGAGCAAGGTTGTGTTAGCTTTTTGGTTACTGAGTTTTAAACTTCAATCTTTTCGAATTTATTGTTGACATCCTCATTATTGATCTATTTCAAAACTTTATGTGGACTCGTGGGAATTTTGTTATAGATGATTTATTACTATATTAGAGAGGCGGAGCGATAGGCCACAATTAAATCACTAATAATGCCAAAGAGGTTCTTGAAGAGACATGTTTATGGACTAACTGAAATAAGAAGAAGAAACCTTAAAAGAGGAAATTTATTTCAAGTTCTTTATATCAAGGAATGTGCCTTTGGATCAGTACACTTGGCGGTAGCAATTGATGGTACACACAGTAAATCAAATGCGATAAGTGTATATGCAAATAGAAATATTCAGGAACTTCTATAAATGATCAATTAACTTAAAAGAAACCATGTTTCTAGAAAGTCGATGCAATAATAAATACCTAAATGGATATTTATGTTTGGACTGGTATAATTGTCCTTCTTGGCATATTTCAAATCATTTTTATGTTCGTTTTGCTGTAATTTGATGGGTTATCATGAATATGTGAAGTAGGACAGGCGAGGATAACTCACAATTTTTAGAGCTGAAATAGCAGAAAAGTATTCACGACAACCACCTACAACAACT